ATTCGCCGGCATCGTAGTCGCGCCTACTACTAAGTCGCCCTAGCAACAAGACCAAGTTGCGACAATGAGGTCAACCCACTTCTACTGAATATTTACAAATCGAAAGAAGACTGCGACCATACCAGAGACCACAATATCTTGGTCTTCATATCTTCAATCGCTAAAAACACTAAACCAAAAGGTTGTCAGCGGAGATCCTACTTGCTTCTTATACCGCCTCACTTTGAGATCTTAATGACAACAAGACCAAGTTGCGACAACGAGATCGACCCACTTTTTAGTGATTGTCCGTGAATAACGGTTTTTGCCTCTGACGATGTGCATCACATGACGGACGAAAGCTCAACATAGAGTCATTGGGTAGTTGGGCGGAGAGCCGAGGTCTTCTTGGCACAATTAAACAGACAAAATTCCAAGGCAACCCTTCTTCGGTATCCGCTTTAGCCAATCTACGAATCATTTTTATTAATGTAAGGTATGCCTTATCAAGATTCTAAGGAAATCTTCGAAAACCAGCTTTTCCTCATATTATTTAAGGACTAATTCATATTATTTCCCTGAGTCATTTAGCCCTGATGACGCATGGCAGTTGTTAGGCTTTTTTATTCGCATATAAGTAGAGTTTCGAGAATACCAGTAAATCAGTAATATGACATGTATTCACCCAATTTCGTCTAGGGTGATGAAGGACTGGTAGAAGAAGAATTTTTCCACAATAATATGAGTTAAGCTGACGTTTCCATTGAATTTCACATTGCCTTACTTTCCAAAAGTTATTCTCATCCAGGCACCAGGGAACTGCAGTTTAGACCTCGCATCGGTCTTATCAAATCGCCCAGCGGGAATCGAACCCTGACAGCGCAGCATGTGAGCTTGACACAATAACCACTCGGTCACATTGCCACGAGTGTAATTTGGTCACAAAGCAGGTGTGAATTTCAAGGAAACCCAGGCTTTTTCTCATATCACATTCTTTGGTGGGATTGTCGATAAAGCAAGCACATTTTTGCTAATAAAATCGGCTACATTACTTATTTTTCGTATATAAGTAGAGTTTTGAGAATACCAGTAAATCAGTTTAATTACATCTCATAGTCTTGAACCTCTACTTATATACAAAAAATAAGTAATATAGTCGATTCTTATAGCAAAAATACGTTTGCTTCATCGACACTACCGGTCCTTCATCGCCTCAAACGAAATGGGGTGAATACATCTCATATGATTAATCTGAGTCATGGCTTCTTTTGCGTATATATATGCATATATCAATTTATATCAACATATTTTTTCGTTATGAATATATTTAGCATGTATGAAAATCCGGTCAATCTTCTTAACCTAATATTAACTTAACAATTTTGCAAGAATGATTACCACTGCTGATGTTCCTCGCATGACGAATGCAAGTTTGTATGGTTGCCCCAAGGAAACTCACCCACTTTGCAGCAAACTTCATAACTAGAAGATATGAAGACCAAAATGTTGTGGCCTCTGGTATGATCACAGTCTTCTTTCGAATTATAGAAATAGATTGACCTCGTTGTCGCAACTTGGTCTTGTTGTCAGGGCAACTTAGTAGAACGCACCTAGTCCGAACTCGTCTGTCCTAGTAGTTGTCATATTTCCCAGCATCTGACAGTGGATTTGGTACAGTCTCACTGATGAAAATGTACCAAGTCCACGGTCTGATGCCGGGAATCATGACAACTACTATGGCAGACGACTTCGGACTGTGTGCGTTTTACTAAGTCGCCCTGACGAAAAGCCCAAGTTGCGACAACGAGGTCAACCCAAACTCATAAATAGAGCCATAATTCACATTTTCCGCGTTCTACGAGTCAACCACAACGATGATGCCAATTTTTTACAGTTAGGAATTTCAATGCCAGCTCTGGAACTCTTAAAACCTTACAACTAAACCAGATATAATCCTTCTCCGGATCCTCTTCGTTCTAAAACGAACCCTTCTAATACAGAAAGCCTGCAAATGTTCAATTTTGATGACTGCAACACTCTAGGGACATACACGGACTCGCTAGAATCATTGTGAAGACTGAAGGCCAGAATCGCATGTTACAACATTTATTAGACGATTTCGGGGTCTAAGTGACAGTATCTCTCCATACCTCTTTTGTCGCATGTGACATTTAGCACCAATTGAACAACAGAACGGCGATGCAAGTAGAATGCTTACATTCAGAATGCCCCAACTAGTCCTCGAAGAAATGTTAGAGGCAGAGCACTGAACATTTAAGCCAAGGCCTTGCTTGAAAATGATGGAAAATTTTTCTCTGGCAAAAATAAGCGTAACGCACAAAAGACGGTGTAATAAGACCAAAGAGGGATGAATTGCTTTATACTCAGTCTTAATCGCATCATAATATGCTAATATGATTGTAAGAAGCCCCGTCTCGACGTAAGCAAACAACCAGCAGGTATGCAGTCAGGAGGGAAGATGACGGAAGAGGAATTTGATGTTTTGTGGAAGGCAGTACATTCCGACAAACTATGAACCATGTGGGCTTTGGCTGCGGACGCTACCCGATGAACTGTAGATCTCAAACTTGCTTGAGAAAATATCAACAAGTAAGGTTTAGGGTCAACGCAAGAAGTATAGTCATTTCGTTCAGAAACTCGGCACAAACTTACACACACGCAACCAGCCCTAGGGCTGGTTAATCTGAGATAGCAACGAAACAAAGTATAAATAAGACTTCTAAGCACTCTCCATGAAAGTGATGACGCAAACAGACACTATAATTGTGTTAAAATAAGAGAGCTTTACAGTTTCCTTCTATAGAAGTGTCCATTCTTCACCATCTATAGTAGGCATTCTCAGTTTCTTGCTTTTCAACTAAAGTGAAAGTAGTAGTAAAATGTATCAAATATTTTAACAAATTCAATATATAAAAAAGTAATTATGATAACTTAGATATAAAGGTCAAGATGATCGCAGTCTCATTTCGAAGTGGTTTCACCTAGTTTTTCAACTTGGTTCTGTGGTCAGGGCGACCTAGCTGGACGAACATTGTACGAGATCCTCTGCCATAGTAGTTATGATAATTCTTACCGTTAGACCGAGAACTCGGAACATTTCTAATCGTTTCGCTGGCAAAGTCAATGCGTCTTTCCATTCTCAATACCAAACAACACTTCGTCAGAGAGACAAGTGAGATGTGAGGATAGGGATTAGGGAGATATACCAGAACAAACGGAGTGATAATACAACCGTTTGGCCAAAATTTGGCCAAGATATTGACTTAAATTGTCTTTTTGAAAAGTTATAGCTTGGTGCTGAGACTGGCTACGATCCCCGAGGAAATGTCTGGGAATGTTACAAGTCCACGGTCTGATTCTGGAAACTAGCATAACTACTAAAGCAAAGAACCTCGGAGATGGAACGCCCAACTAGATCGCCTTTAAGATACAGCTATGCTGCGAGGTCATACCACCTCTAGTTATGAAAATTCCTTTAGTTATTGACCCTGTAAAATAGGGCAAAATATGAGGATAGATAGAAATTGCTTTGTAGTAACTGTCACCTGATCCAGGTGCCAACCAGAGAGGGCTCCTTTTCCATCGTGACCAATTCGTAACTTGTATGGAAGCCCAACATTGGGTAGCATCACTTGAAAGGTGTCCTTGCTGCCGGCCTCGAAGAGGCGTCGTTTACTCGTCGACCGGTCAGTTGAGTCGTGACGAACCACTGGTCCTGGCAGTAAAGGGTCGCTGGCGCCCAATGTAAGAGTGACATCCTCTGTTTTGCCAGCAAAACCGTAAAGTACTATGGCGACGTTGGCGTCTGTTCCAGCATTTTTTAGCTGGCTTGTGTGTACGATCACTTGCCATGGAATCTCTACATCAGCGGAAAGATAAAGATACAGATGCTGACGAGAAAGGACTGTTCGTCTGAGCCAAATATCGCATGCTCTTGAGATATGAAGAGAAGCTGGGTTTCGGAGAATTCCTTAACAGATTGACAATGGCGTACATTTCATTTGGTTTGAGAAGGCGGGTCGAAGGGATTCGTAGCTTGACCCCACCAGAAGTTTTTTGTTGATTGTTAGTGAAAAATGGTTTCTGGCTCTGACGAAGTCCGTCACAGGACAGAATCATCGGGTTCGTAAGACAGTTGGTCGAGGTCTTCTTCGTACAATTCAACAGACAGAAGTCCAAGGCAACCCTTCTATGATATCCGGTAACGCCAATCTACAAATCTTTTCGACCCGCCTTCACAAATGAAATGAAAGGTAGGCTAGTATAGCATGATTTTGGCTGTAGAGTCGAGTACATTGGAGATGACCCCTCACTTAATTTCCAACAAAACGCAAAGAAAAGTAGTGTTTTAAGGGCTCGCTTGGTTCATAATTGTTGAGCTTACTTGCATTTCGAGTGAAAGTGTTTGGTGAATAGATTCAAAAGCCGATCCCACCAGAAGACGACGGCGAATTCCTCCTGACCACCTAGCGATTAGCTTTAATGAAACATTCTGGTTGACGTTGCTTCCGAGACAATCTGCCTCGAGTCCGATGTACATGTTCTAAGCCTTTGTACATCATATGACGGACATCATCAGAGCAGGATAGCATTCTTACAACCATGTTCAGGCTAACAACTCAAGCAACAAAGCCAGCAAGAATGATCCAATAAGGCCAATCGACAGCTGGTCGTCTTCTGATGAGATCGACCTTCGAGTCTAATCACCAAACACTTTCACTCGAAATAGAAGTAAGCTCAATAACTTACAACTATTCTTTACTCGCTCATCCAGAACAACATCCCGGATCTTCTTAATTGTCATCTGTCTTGCTCTCTGAGGCTGGACTGAAGTGGACTTAAGAGGAATTCGCAGCTTGTCATCTACTCTTACGATTCCATTCTGCATTTTTATGCTCTAAAGCAACTCCAATTGAGGAAAAGGAAAATTTGCTGCTGCCTACGAGGCAGGATCACAGAAAATTCTCTTGCAGAAGTAGACCTGCTGACAAGAAATGTGGATGTAGCAATAGGTACTCAATCAGATGACGACCCGATCCGGAAAGTTGAAAACGTCGCCTACTTCTTGGATGTCGACTGACTAAGCAAGGCATACAATATACAAAGTAAACAGATGGCATTGCATTTTAGGATGGTTTCTTTCCAAACTACAAAGAGGTTTCGAACGAAGTGGTCTAAGCCCTCTTACTTCCAAGCAGAACCTGAAGAGACGTTGATGAAAGATTTTGGACAGAGGCCCTATTTAAAAAATACCGTGTAAGCCAGCTCCAAACTGGTGAAGAGGCATTATAGAAAAAATGTCAAAAATAAACATTAATTAGTGCAGTCACATAAATTGGGTGTTAAGTGAATATACACTTTTATAGCAATTAATCATGTGGCGCAAAGATGGGAGGACAAAACAGGGGAGTAGGCAATGAAGAGAAGGAAGTGCATAATCATTTGTGCAGAATCGTAATCTTTGCAGGTTTTCAAGCAACCAAATCAGCGTTGTCCGTTTCGGAATTTCTCGTCAAATTACTTCACTCTAAATCTTTGTTTACTCTGTAGATATTTGTTTTTCTGGTGTTATTTTTGGATTTAAATGTTTTAGAAGATTGCTCTATTTTTGCACGCTTTTAATTAACAAATAAAAATATTATCAACTAAGGCGTTAGCACTAATTTAAAAATTTTAATGTTCATATATATTTTAAAACTACTAATGATGAACAATACAAGAGCTACTAGGTTTTGAGACTACCAATAAATCTTGACTAAAAGTTCCGGTCACCATAGGGTGCATAGGTGATAAAGAACTGATAACCAATTTTTCCCAAATGTCATTCGTAGGGCTCAATCCAGTGTTGCAATTCCTTCCGTCTTTCTTCCAAAAGAGATTTTGTAACATAGTGGACTAAAATTTCGATTTTACTTCGCTTTCCTTAGCTTTCCCAATAATACTCGAATCTGTTTGGTGCGCCTTATATCGTAGACATGTGACCGCTAAGCTACATAAACCTGAGTGCCATTAGGTCACAGGACAGACGTGAATTCCAGGCCTCGTCCATATCACAATTCCATAATGGCAAATTTGCATTTTGCTATTAGTATCAATTATGATACTCATATTCATGGTAGATCGGTTTTGAGAGTACCGATAGATACTAACTAAGAGTTCTATTGATAATCTCGAAATCTTATAAGTATGAATATAAGTAACTTGGTCGATTACGATGAAAAAATACAGGTCAACCTCGTCAAAAAAATCACCATAGATACGATACCTTACATTAAAGTTCATGTCTGCCGTCTGGACCACTAGCACTAGAAATTATATATTACGCTATCCATATTTGATTCCAGATGAGGGTGTTGATGAGGCCTAGGTGAACTCGAAAGTATAGTCCAACCTGGATGAAACACCTTTAGGGTGGCAAGGTTAAATGGGCTTCAATGGCACTGTTTGAAAATTCGACACTGTCATTCCTTAACTTAGTCAATTAAAAATGCATAAGAACGAGTTAACTTAGATGATGTCTACTTCTCAGTATTACTCATGAGTCTACTTTAGCCTTAAGACGAAGCCTAATTAAGGTTTAAATGGTTACTTAAATCTGTAATGAATCGTTTGTAGCCTATATGCAACACATTCTACTGTTGCTACGGTGACAGATTGAGCTTACGCTTAAAATCAATAGAAAAGAAACCTTGGTTTTGCATTGTACAGAACTGCGCTCTAAACCTCAGTTTCGATATCCTCCTGGTCTCATTAACAACCCAAACAGGTTTAAGACTGTCGATATGAATTTCCATGCGAAGTCAATACTCCTCTTCAAGTTAAACAGGGCAGAATGGCCAACAACTGCCACAAAAAAATAAGAAAATCGTGCCGATTCTTAGCTGCCAGTTGCCGGCATGTCCAAGTTACTGGAGAATAAACTGTTGTCCTCTTAAAGAGAAGGTTCACATCAATGCCAAATTGAGCTAGGCCTGCTTTGCTCTAAAAGTCAGGTTTTTCTTCAATTTCACCGGACAATTGGTCGACTGGTCTGGGGTATCATTTGTTTGCGTCTAAACCCATACATCCAAAGTTTGAAATCCACAAAGAATAGC